GGCGGCGGCCGCGGCGCCCCGAGCGGATAACAACTGACGTACTTCCGCCGGGCCGCCAGCGCCGAAGGAAGTGGGCGTCGCGGCCCCGCCTCCTTCCCCCCGTAGGCGCATGGTCACGCCCTCTGGGCGTGGTCTGAGAGGCCGGACCCACCTGGGCCCGTGCCCCTCCACGTGGGAACTGAGGGGCGAGTAGGAGCCTGGCACTGGGTCTGCGGATTCAGGGTCTCAGAGCCCCTTCCGAAAGGCCTTTTAAATGGACGCATGTGAGCCTTTTGCCATTCCGGACACGTAGACAGAGGGGCTAGCTGGAAGCACAGCGGACTGTGTGCTGGACCGGCACCCCGGTGCGGGGATGGTCGAGGCTGGGGTGTTGGGATCCACACTCATGGCCCTGCGTAGAGGGTTTCCTTATCCTTACTCCTCATGGGGGTGTGGGCCCTTCTGGATGCAGGGCAGGAGTGGGGTTCACTCTGACACACCCCAGGAGACTTGTCCCTCAGGTGTGTGTGTAGGAGGATAGGCCACCAGCAGGGATGGGGAGAAGAAGATGAGAGGTTTTGGGATGATTCCTCACCCCCTTCCCTGAGTCCTGGTTTCAGCTTGTGTCCAAGACTCCCTGCCCTTCTCCCCAAGGGTTGCCCTACAAGGGGGTCCCTGCCCCTCTTCAAGGCCCCTGGCAGTCTCCACACCCACAGCCCCTGGACTTCTAGCAGTAGCCTTGGGGTATGTTTGGCACACAGTGCATCCTCCTCCCCGCGCTGGCCTGTGGAATGTGGACACAAGGTCAGCTCCTCTTCCAACAGGGAAGGGACCTCTGTCCTTGCACCCTGAGGCTGGGTGCCAGCGGCCCTCTGTCCAGGCAGTGCCTGTGATGAGAAGACATGAGGCACTGGCACAAAAGACACTAGCTGTGGGTCACAGGGTGTGGACAGTCCCAGTAGGTCTCTCTGGGGAGCTGAGACCCCACAAGAGGAGCAGTTCCTGTGATCCTGTAAAGAAAGGGAACTGACTTTCCTGCCTTTGTGCAAGGGCCCTGAGGCAGGAAAGCCAGACTTACTGGATGTTGCTCAGTGGATAGTGCTGGAAAGTGTCGATTGCCCAACAGTAAGGGGGGGGGCACTGTTCACCCCTTCCTCAGAGGACCTGAGCCTTCCAGTTTTCACTTCCCTGACCCTGGGGGTGCCCAGGCACCCAGTGTGGAGAGGATAGTGTGGTGAATGGTGGGAGGCCACAGCTGTTCCAGCACAGCTTGGGAGACAGCTGCACACCCTTTCAGAGGCATGGGTGGGAAGGTGGTCAGGCTCTATCTCTAGCCCCCCCCCCCATCCTCTCCCAGCTTCCTCAGGTGAGGGCTGTCATCTCCCCACCCTGCCCATTCTTGGTTTTGTTATGAAAACTCTTATCAACCTCACAAAAAAAAAAAAAAAAAAACAGTTTTTTTGCATCCACACTGCCATAATTCCCTCCAAGCTTGGGGCAAGTGTTTGAGGTATCTTTGAAGGCAGGCCCTGGGGTCTGAGTACAAACCCTGCCCCACCCTGCCCAGCAGGCTTGCAGCTGGGTTGCAATGGGAGCTAGGGGCTTCCTGTGTGCCTGGTGCAGGGTGAGGTCAACCTCTTGTCAAGAGGGTCTGTTGTCTGCATCCCTGGTCTCTAGCAGTTGCTAGTGGGGCAAGCCTCCCAGTGTGAGAGTCCTAGCGGATTCTGCCCAACTTCCTAGGCTCCAGCAGTCCCTGGCAGCTCCCTCCCCTCTCACTCTGCCAGGTAGTCTGGCCAGGGCCTGTGGGCCACCTCTCTCAGTGGTCAGAGCAGAAGCCGGATTGCCTGTTGGCATGAGCTGGGTCTCTTGACTCTACCTCTCCAGAGTTCTGCAGGGCTCCCAGGCTTAGGGGAACCTTCTGGCCATCAGCTCTGATCTTCCCCCTTTTCCAAGAGGACATGGGGGTTGTGTCCTGGGTATGGGTAGCTTCCAGACCCACCCAGTGGTGGGAACCTTCTAGATTCTGCTGACCAGCCCTCGTCCCCTACCCCTGGAAATGAGAGAGCACCTAAATCACCCGGAGGCCAGCCACACAGCAGAGGGCAACCCTGGACAGGATCCTGCCTGCAGAATCCTAGGAGGGTGGCAGGCAAGTGGGGTGTCCCCCCAGTTCCACCTAGGGGGACAATTTTTGCATTTCAAACCCTGGGAGAAGCAGTTCTGGAGAACCTCCTTTAGGAACCACAGGTTTCCTTGGCCCACAACTGGGGCGGGGCTGGGGGCGGGCAGCAGAGAAGCTGCTCTGGGCTTCCTGAGTCATGTCCCTTCTCCACAGGACCCCACCCTCTCTGTTTCAGGAGTGTGTCCTTTGCCACATTCCAGGCCTTCTTACATCCTCCACACCCCTTCCACTGCTGTCCATCCCCTCCGCCCTGGCCTTCATGTTCCACCAAGGGGAGCGGCCTCTCCTCCCCACTCTGCTCCTCCCTGGAGGCCCTTGCCCCAGGCCCTTACCTGCACTGGCCTGGTGGACACCTGGTGAGCACAATGCCTGGCGCTGCTAGCCTGCCCGCCTGGTTTGCTGGATGCCCTCTGCTCCCTGGAGGTACTGCGGAGTCAGTGGACAGGAAACTGTACTCAAAGGTCAGTGTGCTCTCAGACCACTTCAGGTCCTTCCATTCCATGGCTGGCTATTCCTCTGGGTTCAAACACACTTTCTGTTTTTCCAGAGACAACCAGAAAATTGGCCTGCTGGCAGGGTCTGCCTGCCAGGCTCCCAGTGGCATGCCTGACCACACAGGGTGCCCCGTGCCACATGGACACCAGGAGTGGGCCCTCTCCCCAGGACTCCTGGCCAAGCTAGCCCCCCAGGCTCAGGCGGCTGTGTGGCTTGGCCTCCATCTGCTGAAGTGGAGCCTCGCCCAGGCAGAGGGGTGGCTGTGCCATCAGAGACAGTGACTGTGGTTGCACCAGAAGGAAATGAGGGCTGGAAGCAGTTCCTCACAGCAGGTGGCCATGCCATGCTAGCCAGACTGCTGTTCCTGGAATGAAGTCTGTCTCTGACAGATTGAAATTTGGGGTGCCCCCATCCCAAGTGTCCCCTTCCCCTAGTTCCTCCTCCTCCTGAGGCTGCTCCCTCCCTCTTCACTGAGCCCCAACTCAAATATCACTTCTTCCTTGCAGTGGAATCTGCCAGCTGAGCTGGGACACTCCCAGAAGGCCCTGCCCTGGCAGGGCGGTGGCAGAGGTGAGGGTTCCAGCGGCCCCAACACCTGGAAATGCAGGCCCTGTCCAGCAGCGCCAGCGCCTGCTCCTGGTGGGAGCCTGGCTCAGCCAGCCGGTGGGCTGGAGCCTTGGCCTGGAGGTAGCTGCTGGCAGTGGAGGAACTGGGCCTTCAGGTCCTGCTTTCTGGGCCTGCCCTCAACAGAGGAATGCCCCATGAGGACATACATCTGGTCTGCAAATGAGTGTGAAGTCCTCCCTCTGGCACATGACCTGGAGAGGAGTCCTGGTGGGAGGGTTGCTTACTCTTTGGCTCCCTCCAGGCTGAGGAAGGGGCTGGGGGGGGCAGGGGGGGTTGGGGGAGGCACTGGGGATCTGCTGCATCAGAGGCCAGCCTGCCAACACTTGGGACCGGCACCCTGGGCTACAGTGATCCAGCATGGGGCCCTGGTTTTCTCTTGCATGTGACTGGCACATCCCAGATGTGCTGGAGACTACAGGTCTAGAAGGAACAGCATGGGGAGGGGCCTGGAGCAGGGCCAGTACCTACTGTGGGAGGTGGTCGTCTGATGGGAGATTGACTGGCAGGGCAGTTGGATTAAGGAGGGAGGCAGATTAGGGGAAAGGGAAGACAAAATCAGCCTTCCTTACTCTCAACCCTGTGAACCCAGGGCAAGGTCTTTAGAACTGTGCCATTGTAACAGGGTGGTCTCTAGGAAAAGGGGAAGTTCCAGGTTCCCTGACCCACCCAGAAGGAGGGTGGAGCCAAGAAGAGGAAAAAAAAGAGAAGAGAAGGAATCTGAGGAGGAAGGTAGCAGGATAGAGAGCCAGAAGGAGACCTGAGGAAGCCACATGGAGCAGGGGGCATGTGAAGAAACCGTGTTTGTTTCTTGGCCCTGGACTGGTTGAAACAGATGTGGGTGAGAGACCCGTGGGGAGGTGACTATGGTGGTGGTGGTATTTATCTTGATTTTCCTCCCAGACTTGTCTGGCCATTTCTGACCCTTTTCCACGGGTCCCAGCCAGAAGGTGCTTTAGTCTAGTGGCAGCTTTCAGGCCTTTCTTTGGGCCAGTCCCTTTTGGGCTGACTTTTGCCCACGAGGGGATGGGTCACTTCAGGTGTTTGATTCAGAAGTTATATTCTTTGTCTTCCATATTGTATACTCACTGTATTAAAGTACCTTTTTCATTAAAGTCTTAAATGTTTTGTCTTGATGGTGGCGGATGGCAGGGAGGTTTAGGGGTTCAGAGGTGCCCCTCTCCCTGGCCTGTAACACCATCACAATTGTACATTTTATACCTCCCACAGCCACCTGTGGGG